ACAGGGATAAGAACTGTTGTGAAGTAGGACAACAACGCTACAGTAATAATAGAGTTTTGAGTAGGTTAGATTAGGTTATATAAACCCATAAAAGCATATCTAACCACAAGAAGGAAACGTACTGCGACACATTTGGCAATGTGGTGGGTAGATGAGACCGCACCAGGAAACGTTCAAATCAGCACGCGTATCACTCACTTGTGGATGAACGTATCCCAGGTTGTGTGGTTCACCAGCCACACCCGCTGTCGTTCATCAACCTCATGACCCACATTCTCTGTGAATTAATAAAGAGGCAGAAGGGACGGGAAGAAGGGTGTGAGCGGGGGCCTTGGGTGGTGATTGGGGTGGCGGGGGCGGGGGCCTGGATCAATAAGACGATACCACCACCATTCCTGGCAAGGTCACCATTTTGTTTACAAATTGTTTTTTAAGATTATCTTTTTTAGTTGAAAATTTTGGATCGTTGAAGATCTCCCCTTCCCCATTCATCCCTCCCACGGAAAACCTTTAAATAGTTGTGCAAATTTTGGGGAGATATATTTTGCACTAAAACAATGACCTAAGTTAACCTTGCAAAAAATTATGTTCACACATACACTAGGGGGACTGAGACTTCACTTAGAGATGTAGGGATGAGCATAGTGCCCAGTATGACGCCAAAGGCTCACATCAGATGCCTAATAACCTCTGCAGCCAATTCTCGTCTGGGAAATCTGAGAGTAACCTTAAGGAATCTAAACATGATAATCATTATGGGCCCTGTATACAACATACATTAGGCCCATCTTGGTGTATGAAGAGCCTGCATGGAACCCGCACCTGAAAAAAGCACTTTAGAAACTGGAGAAAGTGCAGAATTAAGCAGCAAAGCTTGTTCCTCACTTTCTGAGAGGAATTTGGCCTAACTACATTAGAGGATTTTAGAACCAAGGGGGGACATAACATACTGTACAAAATACTCAGTGGAATTGATAAAGTAGACAGGAATAGACTGTTCGAGAGGAGAGAAACAAAAACTCGGGGACACTGTTGGAAGTTGAAGTCACAGGTGAGCCACAGGAATGTTAGGAAGTACGTATTTTTTTCAGTCTCATAGTAGTCGGGAAGTGGAATGATCTTGTTAAGGAAGTGGTGGAGGCTGGTTCCGTACATAGGTTAGGTAAGGTTTGTCAAGAAACAGGATAAGTGTTTTCTGACGCGGGTTTTAGTTATATGACCCGCAGCTGGAGCTTTCGGTCATCTGGCCGAGGCCTTCCGCTGGCTTACCGGTCTACCCCTTTAAGAATTATAGTTATGATTGGAACCGTTAAAGTACTGGATGTACTCTGATACGTTCCCCTTATTGCCTCCATTTCAAGTAAGACTGTGAATCTCCAGTTCGGAAACAGGACGGGGGCCGAGGATGCAGCAGACATTTACCTTCTTGCTGCCCACACTGAGACGCTGAAACAAAAAAGTGGCAGCCTTTGGGACCCTGGTAGTATAGATGAACCTGGAAGTCGATCCTCTGAAGAAGCTCGTTGCTCGTTTTCCCCCATGGTCCAAGGGTTTCTGGATCTACTGGGGCAAATTTGTGCTAATGACTCGTCCAATTTTTGCCGAGTTTGAATTCTTTCCTATGATCAACAGCAGCACCTTATTTTTCTCAAACTATGAGGTACAGTAGGTGTCGGCCAGAGTGAACACAGTATGGTCCCATGTGAAGAGTCTTCCATTCTTCCAGGGATAGATAGTGATCTTATCAGGACGGTTAACAAGATACAACAGAGATTCCTGAATGCTCGGAATCGGTGCTCTCTCTCAGCTAGGCACCCAGAAGAAACGAGGCTTCTCTTAATGGTGACTTTGTTGTGTTCTGCGTGCCACCCATGGGAGTTAGGACTGTTCAAACATGTAGCCCATATGGGCCGGCTTGCGCCTTGCCGCAAATACACTTATATTCAGTGTGGATGGGGGTAGCAAGGTAGAGAGTCACTGCATTATGGAGGAATTTAGGGTCAAGACGTGTTCCCATTGCAGAAATAGGAACTGTTAGGAGTAAGTCTCCAGAGAGATGAGCAGTCTCCCTGATGATGAAGCGGCAGCGAGCATGCTTTATATACCTCTACGGCAATGGGGCTGTTCCAGGTGGATCGCTAAAATATCGCGCAAGATGCCCAAAAACATCTGTTGCCCACAGGGAGCTGAAATAAGAATTATTCCTAGTGGGTAACGGACTAAATTATCTCCTTTAAATGAGATAAATTTAAATTTAAATTTCTTTAAAAATTTATCGGCACATTAAAAGAGATGATAGTATTATGAATCAACATGTTCATATTAAAAGAGAATTATAAAAAAAAGGGAGGGATAAAAAGTGTCCAACAAGCTTAGGATGGTAAAGTTTCAGGGGAATCCAAAACAGATTACTGACAATAAGAAAGAAATGTAGGCAGAAAGTAAAGTGATAATGATAATATTGATGAAAGAACATGGATATATACACTTAAAACATCTTAACTGGATACGTTTCGGTTCTGGAAACTTCATCATTCCAAGTGACCATGATTCCAGCCAGGACCGTATCATAGCCAGTAAAGATATCCGAAGAGTATTCACCAGTACCCGTTCATCCAGAAATTAATGTATTGAAGTTTATTTGTTGTCTCCACACGAGTAGATGCAAAGGAAATCCTAGTAACTGACACTAAAATCCAGAGGAAATTAGTTACTAGAGACATGGTTATTGAACAGGTAGATCGACTAAAGCAAAATGAGTCCCTGAATTCAGGCGAACTGTTTAAAGGGTTCTTAAAGACTGCAAGATACAGCCGCTAACTAGTCTGTTCATTATATTACTTCATACTGGTATCATACCCGATATGTGGAAGATGACTAATGTGATTCTCGTCTACAAAACGAAGATAAATCCTTACCATCGAAATACTTTCAATAGACAAATATATGAATGAGACGGACCTGCCATGTATCGACTAGTAGGCCTTCATTGCTTTATAATGTGATGCTGGTAAAGGGCTCTTAATTCAAGCGGATGAGGCTACCCCCATCCTCTTTCATGGGGCCAGACCTGATGGCCTCCAGTTACAAAGGCGCTGTATGATGGTGATTAAGCGCTTCCCCGTGAATGTAATAAAAATAAGCAAGTGGAAACTGTGTAAATGTCTCCCTGCCCTCTCACTCTGAAAAAAATGTGCACGGCGCCCACTTGTATTTTTATTTATCAGCTGATCAATGATTTCCAGTATGGGCGCCACCGCCATGGTGGCTAGGCGCCAGCATGTATGGGCTCAAACTAACGCATACCCTTATGCACTTCAATATACACGACACCTTCATTCTTATACACTTCAAGTCGGACCGAAACGCAATCATAAGTTTCTCCTATGTACAGGTTATTTATGTATTATTCCAACCATGGTATTCTGCCTTTTTATTCGTTACATTCATGGTTATTCACTCCAACATATACAGTCGTGTATGCACACTTCAGCTTATACAATAGTATATCAGTAGAACATAAGTATTTAATACCAACTTGTTGATGAATAAGACGTGGACAACAGCTATAGGTAGTTTTACTGAAAAAAAAATTCGTTCGCTCTGGGATTTCATCATTCAGGACACTTTCATAGTGCAGGCAGGCATGCACACGCTCGCACGCACGCACAAACGCACGCACCTGGACCTCATTGGGTTCTTGGATTCATTGAACGCTGGACGGAAAGAGGGAGGGAGAGGGAGGTATATACAGTCAACAGTAAGATAAGTGAGAAAGGAAACGAGTTAAGCTTGAGGATGTTGGTTGGGTTGTAATAAACATTACACACGTCCTCCTTTATAAGCTTGGTCTACTTTGACGGCTGGCACTGTGTACTGGGCCTCATTTCAGGTGTGGTCCTTAAACCAGATGCGTCTCTTATATAGCGGTTGTCCAGTTTTATCTGCTAATTTGTGAGTTGTTATTTGCAGCTATTATGTTGCCATGGGGCGGTGAGTGTGCTTTCAGTGTAGAATTTGTAGTAGTCTTGCCTTTAACCTTTTCTGTCCTATACTTTTTTTCCTCCTCCCTCCTTCCCTCTTCCTCTTTCCCTCTTCCTCCTTCCCTCCTCAGCCCTCCCTTCCTCCCCCTCTCCCCCTCCTCCCCCATTCTCCTTTTCCTCCTCCTCCACCTTGGTTCAGGTCACCCTGGTTTAGGTCTCCTTGGTTCATTTAGGTCACGGCAACCAGCCTGCTAACATTGGTAGAACTCAACCAGAAGTGAAAGTGAAGGACACCCGAGGTCACGCCACCTTTCAGTGGGATGCCCTGGTGAAGGGCTCACTCTTGCTCAGTAGAATTGAAGTAGACCTCTATTTCTTCGAATCAAACCTTATTGCATCCCATCCCCAAGGCGGTGAATGCCTTACGGGTTAAGCGTTTCGTTATGATTGTAATGGATGTCACACTTAACTTGTACTGGTCAGTTTCGTATATTTTTTTAAACACACCGGCCGTCTCCCATCGAGGAAGTGTCACCCGAAAGAGAAGATTTTTTTTTCCGTTTTACACTTAGCTATTTATACGGGAAAATGGGTTACAAGCTCCTTGCTCCTTTCATTTTTAGTCGCCTCTTACTGAATTTCATATCACTTCACTTATTTTTTACAAGACTAACTAACTGAAGGGATGAGTCTTTCTAAAGGAAAGCATTTACAGTTTTGCAAATTTTGATATTCCAACTTTTTATTTTAAACTAAAACTAACCTAGCAGCCTAACCTATAATAAAGCAGTAACATTTTACAGATTTTGATATTCCGACGTTTTATTTGAAACCTAAACTAACTTAATATAACCTGTTACAAATAATTTAATTTACGTACTGTTAAAGAATTTTATTAATTATATTTCATTGTTTTTCCTGTGAAGGAAGTGATAAAAATTCCGGGTGATCCATTTTACCAAATTTATTTATTCGCAAAATTCAGGCAGGTGCTGACTGCATTGTCTTATTTTTCAGGTGGTCCGGAAAAAGGGAATCATATGCGAGACAGGAAGGAAATAAGTTATTACCAGCGTTAGATCCACACTGCCTCCACCCACGCCCGCACCTCCGCGCACGCCTACGATTCTGACACGTGCCCATAGCGCCCACACCGAGAAGCAAGTGTCAGCAGCTGCTCAGATTCGCTGGTACTGTGGGTCACAGGAAGAACTCACAGGGACATGTTTCCTCACAGGCGCATGTAGTGCTCCTACTCAGACTCTGACTCACTCTCACTCTCACTCTCTCTCTCTCTCTCTCTCTCTCTCTCTCTCTCTCTCTCTCTCTCTCTCTCTCTCTCTCTCTAACACCATTATCATGCCCTGATTTCCCAAGAGACTTAAGTGTTCACCTTTTTTAACAAGTGACCTCTCTCTCGATTTTTTTTTTTTTTTTGGTAATCTGGCGAAGATTTTGTCTCGTGTTTCAATAAAAAATCTAAATTTGCATATTAACTATGTATCAAGTGGCTAAATTATGTGGTATGTGTGGTGTTCTAATCAAAGGTCAGAGGTAAACTGCTGCTTGGTACTGACTACTCTGGAGAGACTAAACAAATCTACATAGACCGTCCACGTATCTGAAATGACGGTAAAGTTACATTGGATTGTTATCGAGAACTATAGTACTATCATCCCCAGCACATGATAACCAGTGTGCAATACCTCTAATGCATTTCCCCAACAAACTAAACGTTTGAAAATATTTTGTTTGTTGTGTTGAGGAAAGACCCTAGAGTTGCTTCCCAATATTAGCAGTACTTTACCCTCGATTCTGAACTCTAAGCCGAACCTAGCCTTTGTTAGTCATCGCAGGGAAAAGTGCGTTGTCCATACATGACTATTATGGATGAAAACGTGAGAATAAAACGGAGTTTTTGGGATGGAGAGAAAAAGTGAAAATATTGTGGTGATTTACCTGAAGCATTACTTTACAAGACCCGCCAGTGATGAAGCGTAAATAAAAAAGGATATGTTCATAACGATGTGCACTAGAAGGTACAATTTTACATTGAACAAATCTGAGCAGAAAATATAAATATTTTTTTATAACGTTTGACAACTGATACAGTTTAAAAAATATTAATCTATGAAAAAAATTAATAAAAAATATAAACTTAAGATAAAGAGAAGAAACACTAAGTTATATACAATATATAACTTTTAGAAGTACAGTGTGTGGAAGTTTTGATAAAAATAAGCCTAAGGGAAACTTTGCCAACAATTGTTATTGCAAGTTGTGCAAACAAGAGTGAGGAGCGAGAGGCAGTGGGGCCACCTCGTGCAGGAGTTTTGACCAGTTCGATGTTGAGACCCGGGCGTGGAGCGGGAGGCTGGTTGTCTAGTTCAGACTGGCTCTGGTTGTTGTTAAGAGGCACCTTCGGCAGCACTGGCCGTAACCACACCTGGGCCTGGAACGTTGGCTTCCTCCTCCTCATCTCTGCAGCTCATCATAATCTCCCCTCAACAACCACTTCCTTTCTCTTCTTCCCAACCCACGCCACCTTCTTTACCTCCCCGGCGCCCTCGTCCTCTCCTGCTGTGCCCCATTCCTCTCCTGCTGCGCCCCAGTCCACTCCTGCGCCCCTGCCCATAGTAGAGGTCAGCTTGCCTGCCAAGGAAGGCAGCAGTGAGAAGAGCGTCACCATGACGGATGCACAAGTGTATAAGGTGTTGCTAGCCTCCGCCATCCTTATCTTCTGGTCAGGCTTCTGGGTGGTTCACCTTATAGGCATCATTTACGGGTGAGTACCACCTTCTGCCGTGTTTCTCGTGTTGTCTGCTCACCTATATGTACTCTTTGTTGCCTTTGCAGGACCACCTTCAACTCCTAGGTTCAGATTTCTAACCAATGATTATTTAGTTTGGTTATTAACTCTACGGAAGACTTAGGGTTTTATATCTGCATTTGACTACTCTCTTATGCTTTGTTAGATCTACATTTGACTACTCTCCTATGTTTTATTATATCTCCACTATCTCTAAAATATTTCCTTAATGCAAAAATACTCATTGTTCTGTTTCTTGCAGCGCTACAAAGATGGTTCCTATCTACATTATTGATAATAAGGTAGACATGTGTCGGCCTTTTGTCGGGGAAGGGGGGGAAGGCATGGCAAAACACTAGTGTCAAAGGGGACACGTGAAAGTGGTTTAGTAACCAGTTAGGCCCATAGCAGAGCACTTTAGTAGCGATCACTGGCTTACTCGTGCTGAACTCAGTTGCGAATTAAATACAACTGCTTTGTGTAAATTTGTGGGAAGTTACATTCATCATGCTTTGTGGCAGTATTCATTGTTTACGGAGTGAGGAGCTAGTTTCGTTAGTTCTTAAATATAGCGAGTACTTAGGTCATATTCAGTGCGTTCCTCAGATATTTGTTGCAGCCCATACGTCTCGCCCTGCCCGGCCCTGCCTTAGTTGTGGTGAAGAATGGTAGAGGGAAAATTTGCCATGGGAGGGGTTGTGAAGGATGGTAGATGGAGGGGTTGTTTTGAGAGGGGTTGCGGTGAAGGATGGTAGAAGGGGGTTTGTCATGGTAATGGTTTGGCGAAGGATGATAGAGGAGAAATTTGCCGTAGAAGGGGTTGTGGTGAAGGATGGTAGATGGGAAATTTGTCGTGGTAGGGGTTGCGTAGAAAAATGATTGAGAGAAGTTTTGTCATGGGAATTAAATGAAGGATGGTAGAGGGAAGAGTTGTCGGGAGCGGTTGTTGTGAAGGATAAGTATGATGTAGGGGAGATTTGTCGTGGGAGAAGTTATGAAGAATGGTAGAAGGGATTTGTGTCAGTATTGTTAATGGAAGAGGCTGTAGTGACGGAGAGAGAAATAGTTGTGCTGAAGGATGGTAGAGTGAGTTACTATCTGGTAACCCCTGGGAATACGCATGCACACAACCATCCATTCTGGAGGCGGGCATGAGCTGACGGAGTTGCGTGTCGTGTCGGTGGGGAAGACGTGGAAGGCTTTTGCACTCATCCATTCTAGGGCCCCAAACTCATTCATGTTTTAAACTAAAATCAACAATGCACTTAAAAGCTTTACCTCTTATTAGGTCTACTTATTGAAGACTGGAAAAAAGCTTAAGTATAAAATACGTATACTTAGTTGAAAAGTTTAAATATGAAATGCGTAAATTTGTAAATGAAAAATAATGTGAATATGTAATGGGATCTCTTTAGTGTTTAAATTAAGCTTTTATTATTTTTTTGTATGGCCTTAGATTTTGGAGGGGCTAAGGTTATTTTAAATTTTGTCTCTAAGTGAGTTATTGCCATTGATGCTCGCTTCTCTGTATCCTGTTATTTTTTCTTATATTTTAAAGGTAACTAATATTTTGCTTGGATTGTAATGTAAGAACTATATTCAAATGTATTGTGACATTTTGTGGTATATACCACAAAAATAATGCATAACTAACAGAAAAGGCACAATACCGTGACTGGAACGATACACTTTAAATAACCCGCGGGTTATTTGTGTATAGTAATAATGCGTAAGAAAGATAACGTGTTTGGTTATATATACTAAAATGTTCATAAGAGGGATAACATGGTTGATTATTGAAGCTAGAAAGTGATAATATCATTGGTTATGTATACTAATGATAATGTGTTTGTAAGAAGAATACAGTGGTTAGGTGTTAAAGGCTGGAAGTGATAATGTGAGTGTAAGGAGGGATGACACGGTTGGTTATATATTGGTTTGGTTATTGAAAGTTGGAAGTCGTCAAGGAATGATAGATGATGTGTAGCCTAATGTCTCTTTTGTGACACGAAGGTGGACCCATTGTAGCCTAGTTTTTTTTTTTTCCCCTCTTTCTCCTCCCCAACATGTAGGTTAGGTGGACGCAGAGAGGTCGAGTCAGCCTAGCCTAGAGCCCTAGCCTATTAATCAATGTGGTGGCTTACTTTGGAGCCCCTGCTATTAGGGACAAGGAGGCTGGATCTTGTTTGAGTGTTTTAGGAGTATTCTGGGGAGTATGGAAATTGTAATAATAATATAATTACCGACAATATGTTAGGTAAAAGGACACGGGTAATTAATGTGGCATTTTATAGCGGCAACGTTTCGCTCTCCAGAAGGTATGTGAGGCTAATATACAATGGTAGGATTGTTGGCGTCTTTTTTCCTTGTAAACATGCAAGATATCAGGTACGTCTTGGTACTTTTACATTTAGGTCACACTACATGCATGTAAACATGTATTTACAAAGATTCGTCAGAGTTTTCTTCTATTTTCTTAATAGTTCTTGTTCTTATTTATTTTACTCATCTCCACGGGGGACTGGAAAGGAAGCCTTCCGTAAACCACGCGTGTCGTAAGAGACTTGCTAAAATTCCGGGACTAGTAACCCCTTCTGTATAAATTGCTACTAAAATTCCGGGACTAGTAACCCCTTCTGTATAAATTGCTACTAAAATTCCGGGACTAGTAACCCCTTCTGTATAAATTGCTAAAAATAAGAATAGGTGCTGTTGGAGTGTGAGCAAGGTAACATTATGAAAGGATTCAAGGAAACCAGTTAGCCGGTGGGAAATACAGTGCCTGCACTCTGAAGAAGGGGTTGGGATAGACAGTGATGGAGTGAATGATGGTGGAAGCGGTTTGTTTTTATCACCCTGCCTCGGTGGGAGACGGCCGGTGTGTTAAAGAAAGGACACAGAGGGTATATGTAAGTAACAATGTGAGGTGAGAGGATAAGCATTGCAACAGACCTACTGACTCTTGTTGTAGGGAATAGTAGAAGTGGAGAGAGAATTCTTGGTTGCTATGTGATGGCGGGGTTTGTCGTTTTGAGGAGAGCTCTTAATAATGCTTCAGAGATAATGAAGCTGCCATTATTCTGTTTAACGGAGTCTGAAATGGCGATTAAGGATGATTCAAGGCATTTACGTCTTTGGAAATTTGATTCTTTGATCACTGGCAAGGCATTACTGAATCTCATTAAGTGGTTGGTGGAGTTCCTGTGGTATACACATGCCTTGTTTCTAGACTTCGTGCTGTATCACGAATTGAACTCGGGAAAGTGATTGATAACGGCCCTGGGAGGAAAGGTGTTGAAGAGTAGTATGGTTTGATTTTGATAGGCCTCCAGTAATGGATAGGTAATAATTTTTGTGCTTCGAAAATGTTAGTTGTAATTTTAAGTGAGTTTTTTTTTTTCTATTTTAAGGTTCTGTATGTATAGGGATTTGTAGAATTTAGGAAAATCGTGGATTATCTTAACTCTGCTTTCATTAGAGGGAGAAAAGTGGATGTGATGTTGGACACCAGCTCAGCCATCCTCAGGTGGGGGTAGGGGGGTTGAGAAATGAGGATCTTTTTGTGAGAGCCAGATAGATGGGACTCAGCCACTGTGTGATGGGGTTAGGCGAAAGGAAGATGGGGCTGCAGGCCTACTAGAATGGTATACTATGAAGAGTTCACTTTTAATTATAGGCAATATTTCTGCCTTTTCTAGTTGTATATCTGTTTCTCATAGTTGCTTATTAGATCATTGTAATAACCCTCCTATAGTGTAATATTACCCCCCTCCCCCAGTAAGCCAGTAATTGTATATTCCTCTTCAGTTATTATTTGTGTATAAAATATAAAGGAACGATACCCTGAGTTCAACCAAATATGAATAACATAAGAAAGAACACTGCAGCAGGTCTACTGGCTCATGCAAGGCAGGTCCATGTCACCTCCTGGCTTAGACCAATGACCCACCTAATCAGGTCACATCCACTGAAGGAAGGAATACGGCATCAGACCTAGTAGCACAAGCTAGTCAGGTCTAACTCACACCCACCCACACCCACTCGTGTATTTATCTAACCTATTTTTACTTTAACCTTCACATGGATATTGAAATTTATGACGACGTTTCGGTCCGACTTGGACGATTAACTGACCGAAACGTCGTCATAAGTTTGTCTCGTATGTGCGGGTTATTTGTGTATAGCGTAAAAAATGTATTGTCTTGTTTATTAGATAATTTTCTCCTTTATTATTTATCTGAATATTAACTGATTAATTTTTTTTCTAGTAAAGTAGCTCTATCAAGTGTATTAACAGTATGGATAACAAAAAGGCACAATACCGTGACTGGAACAATACACAAATAACTCGCACATAGGAAAGGGGAGCTTAAGACGACGTTGCGGTCCGACTTTAGGTCCAAGAGTCTGACCGAAACGTCGTTGTAAGCTCCCCTTTCCTATGTGCGGGTTATTTCTTTGAGTATGGAGTGTTGAAAAATCAATAGAATTTTGAAAGTGTTTGTCAGGATGTGAGCTTTCCCCCCTCCTCCATCCGGGTGACAGTGGGAGGGGGAGGAATGGACAGGAAGGAGAGAGAGAGAGAGGCAAAAGTAGAGATAATGTGTCTTTCATAACCAGTAAGGTTAATCACGTGTGCTCACTATCAACAAAGCCCTCCTTATCTTCTATTCTAATGAACCTATCTCATACTCTGCTATATATGCGCGTCCTTGGCGCCTTACTCTCACATGTTCTCATTTATATTCGTGCTCATACACTTTTACACACATACTCCTACATACACTCATTCTCCTGCATACACTTATTCCCCTACACTCTTCTACATGCACTCACATTCATTCTCTCCATGCACTCATATGCTAACAAACACACACACACACACACACACACACACACACACACACACACACACACAGAGGGATGTTAGGAAGTATTTCTTCAGTCACAGAGTGGTGGGGAAGTGGAATGATCTT